CCCCCCCCCCCCCCCCCATGAGAAAGGTAACACGATTGGAGGAGGGGAAAAATCACCTATCCTTCCTCCTCGTGTCACCTCCCTCACGTTGAGAATTGTCATGCGCGCTCGCGGTTTTCACTTGCTTTACTTCCTCTAAGGAAAAGAATGAAGAACTAGAATTGAACGCCCAATCTAAGTTGGAATAAAGTTTTATCAAAGAACGGTGCATTCCTTCCACACATACAGTTAAAAAACATTATGTCCCCTCGTCACGAATGGAGCTATGACACTAAAATTAAATCTAATAAATGATGCCATAATTTCTGCCTAACGGCAAGGTTTAAAAACGGGTATGGATTTTAGAGGTCTGGTCTGAAAACGGGTGATAAAAAATGACATTTTGGGGTTCTGAAATAGGGTCAGGATTTGTAGAACAGGGTGGCATACTCCCACCAAGAATTCCCAGGAGTACCCGCCGGGTTTAAAGATAAAGATATGGCATCGTGTATAAAAGCCAGTCGCTTCGCGTTCTATAAATTAACAAAAATAAAATTCAAAAATACAGAATGTACTCACATGATAGCTGCCCAAACGTTTTGAAGATCAAACAGCTGAAATATTCTGTTTTAGAGGAATCGCGTGTACATCGGATACCAAGGTTTACAATCCTTCCTTGTAGCAGTGATGCGTTTTGTACACCACTTTTAACCTTATAAACATTAAAAAGAAAATTGGTTATGATTTTTAAACGTGGCTCGAGAGTCTTTAGGATATTATTATACACGACGACGCAGAGCTAACTAACAACGTTTTGAGCACTGACAGAACCCAGTTTTGTCCAAAAAAATCATTTAATACACAAAGAGAAATAATTGGTTTTCTTTTTAATTAAGAAAACTGTTGTTCCTCTCCCATATGACTGAAACCGGCAGCGAAAGCTTACTTGAAGGGCTTGTAATTTCATTGCCTTTGCTGTATTCGTTGATTAAGCTTCCTATTTTATTGTAAGTGTGAAAATGATTTGACTTCCTCCTACATGTATC